TTGGGAATCGCCTGTTTCACTGACTGCCTGACTGTCTGTCCATCTACCTCCCTTTCTGCTTGTCTGCTCGCTGTTGTTATATCAAGCATGGCAGGCTTCATGGCTCACGGGGTGCTGCTCTTCTATTAGGTTCTTCTCTCGGCAACCACCTGCCTGTCTCGCTGACTGTCTCCCTCCCTTCCCACTTGTCCGCACGCAGTGATTTTTGAGGCGCCTCAAAAATCTGCCCGTCTCGCTGAATGTCTCCCTCCCTTCCCACTTGTCCGCATGCAGTGATTTTTGAGGCGCCTCAGAAATCTGCCTGTCTCGCTGACTGCCTCCCTCCCTTCCCACTTGTCCGCACGCAGTGATTTTTGAGGCGCCTCAAAAATCTGCCTGTCTCGCTGACTGTCTCCCTCCCTTCCCACTTGTCCGCACGCAGTGGTGGTAGCAAGCTCGGCTGGCTTCATGGCTCATGGGGTGCTGCTCGCTCAGATCCTCGCTTACAACAAGTCAACAGTAAAGCATGATTGTCTCACTCTCTCTCCCTTCTCCACTTGCCCGCATGCAGTGGTGATAGCAAGCTCGGCTGGCTTCATGGCTCACGGGGTGCTGCTCGCTCAGATCCTCGCTTACAACAAGCCGGCACTCAAAGCAGCGCAGCAGGCAGCTCCGTCAGGTACCAACCAAGCAGCCTTGACAGGCAACATAGCACCAGACCTCGTTTCTCCTGCCGGATCAGCATCAGAAGCGGAGTGATGCCGTCACCCGTGCATGTCACGTTGCATGCGCCCTAAGCGCTCACATGTAAATGCGTCTCTGGGGTCTCTCTGTGTGTGGCGTCTCATGCTGCTCGCTCCAAGTCAATTCGCTCCGTCGGGTTTGCCGGTAATGGGAAGGGTACGTGCTGTGCCTGGCTATCAGCAGGAGTACCTGCACACCTTATAAGCTTGTATATATAATTAGGGATAATAATCGATATGCATGTTTGGAGTGTAGTTTTGCACTAGGTTCGTAGAATATAGATTGGCAGTGCAATGTCGTGGCGATAACAAAACAAGGTTAAACTGAGGTGTCTGCAGCACATGGAGAATCTAGCAAAGCCTACGGGTGGGCTGTTAGGTGAAGACTTATGGGCCATATGGTCACTCGTGCCTCCCCCCTGCCACTCCTCCCAGGCATTCCCAAGTAGGATCAGAATCTCCTCCCCACCCAGATTCTTTGAACTCACCGTATCTACCTCGGTAGGATGCTTGCCTACTAAATCTCCCTACCCGACCAGGGCTGTCGAAGTCCCTGGGACCAAAACTCTGAGTTATGAGGTGCTCAAATTCTGGCCCTGATTTTCACGGGCGCAGGCCAAAATCAAGGCTTCAAATACGGGCTTCTAAGGAAAGTACTTTTCCCTAATGTCCAAAGGAGGACGTGCCTTCTACATAGCAGAGGGAAGGTGCATACTCAGCGCTCAACAATCTTGCAGCCTCTACATCGTAGGCAAAAGAATGTGAGGAGGGAAGGGGTTCGTAGGCAAGTCATGGAGGGGGTGGGGGGGGCAGCGACGGGATGGGGGGTGGGGAGGGGGTGCTCAACACAGAAACCAAAACTTGGATGCAGGGGAAGGCCCAAACAAGGCCCTTAACTGTCACGGGTGCCATGCCATTCTAGCACTTTAAACGGTCGAGCTGCTCCAAGCGTGACCCGGAATGTTCAGGGCATTAAGGCCAAATGGCCTTGCTTCTCCAGCCCTGTACCCGACGCGTTTTTGCACACGTAGATGTTACCGGTATTGGTTAACCTGGATCTTGGAATGAGTGTCCCCCCATCCATCTATCGAGCCCCAATTCGACAAGGCCGTTAAATAATATAGAAATGTAAGTGTTTTAATGCTGTGCATTGTAGAAATCTTGGAGGGACGTTAAATGCCTAAGAGAAGAGCATTGAGTTTTGAACTTGTTCTCATTACGGTATGGTAAGTATAATGATTAGCTATGGAGATGTACAAGTTAATGCAGGAAGTGCGCGAGCCGCATACTCTCTATAGAACATGTAAAGTAAGCGGCTCCGCTACCCGCCACGCAAAGCTAAACCAAAGTCCAAACCAAAGTCCAAACCAAACCTGGCACCCTAACCAAAGGCCACACCCAGAAAGCTGTCACCACTTTCACGCGATTGGTCAATTTTTGGCAAATATATTGCACTGCGTGCGTCAGCACGCAGTGCAATGAGTCAGCGGGCAAGGAAAAAAATGAAACCCACTCGGAAGGCATGCCATTCGGGAGGCATCAACCCTAGAATTTTAGGGTTGAGGCTCCCGAACGGCATGGAGTCCGAATGGGTTTTAGTTTTGTTCTGCCCGTGGTCAGCATGCTGACTCACTCGGTAGCGTCGTCTAGCGGAACGGTAGCGCTACCGAGCGCTACCAACGCTACCGAGTGTAATATATTGAGTGGTTTCTTGATGCGATTGGTTTCCGATTTTCCCACTGAACCTCCTGCTGGGGTTTCCCGAACCTGCAAATTCCACGTTGACATCGCTGTGTAATTCGGGGTTTGGCCTTTAACCTCAGTACATGGGCTGTGTTTCTTCGTCCAATGAACATCCCCGTTCAAGGCTTTGCTGGAATAACCCGGGTGGCACGGTCTTTCTGAATTTGTCTGATGGTGCAGGACTCGCAAATACTGGCGATCTTACTAGTACTTTGTTCACTGTGACCAGTCGAGCAAATTCCCGCTTTCAAGGGATTTCGATTCTTGAGAATTTTGCGGGCAAGATACAGCTGAGGGCGGGCTTGAAAAATGCCAAGGCCACAGTGAGGGGTCAAAGTTCTGTTTCGTGCTCGGTCAAGCTTTTGGCACAAGGTCTACTGTACACCAAGAGGAAGCATTAACACCCGCAGCATTGCGATGTGAAATCCCCACCGTAAGTGTGGGGCGTGTTTGACAGAATGTACTGTATGATCCTGGACACATCTCCGAAACGCAACACTGATTCTTCCCCGAACCGAACAAAAGCGAAAGGAAGGCGGATCTCTTGCGACACGCGCTTCTGTCACCTAAAATAAAGTCTCTGCCACTCACGCAGTAGGAGCCAGCTGAGGACAAAGGAGCCTTAGCTGTGTGCCAGCTCCCTCAGGATGCAGCCATGGCGTATCCTTTCCCTGCCTTCCAGCTTGCGTATTCACATGTACAGTATGCGAGTACGGTATCTTTGTCCTCTCCTCACATCCCTTGTCTGGAGATCCTGGACATCGCGCGGATGGAGGAGCCTAGAGGATCGACCAGCAAGCAACACAGCTGTACGTAGCAAGCAACACAGCTGCACGTAGCAACCAAATGCGGCAGTACAGTACATCTACGTGTACTGCGCCGAGGCCATCACGTCGTTCGCTAAGTCTAAATGCTGCCGCCTATGTCATTGCGAGCACAACTGTATATACGAGCAACGCGCGGCTGGCATGACACGCCCTGGACAGGGTGTCATAACGGGAATGCGGCACCATTTAACAGGAAGTTGCACTTTAGTCGCACTGTGGTTCGGGTTTAGAAGCTGTACCTATCATCACCATACACTATGGTTCACTTCAAGTCGTCTTACCTTCCTTCACCGTCGCCGCTCATGACATGAGAAGCAGCCATTCTTCCGCAACTCACATTCCATTTCTCATCAGCATTCGGGAGACTTCCAAATCTTTCGGTCTTCTCCCCAACTCCTCAGCGACAGCGAATCTTGTCTCGTTTTAAGTTCCTCCCACGAAATCAAGCGTGCTTTTGGTGGCACTTGCGAGTTCTCGCGAATTCCGCTCAACCTTCCAAAGCCTTGTCACTAGGCTCTGACGAAAGACTCATGGCGCAATCCGCGTTCTACAGACAGCCTTCGCCGCCGTCGCACTTCATGGAGCCAATCAGTTTCGCAATTACTCCTCCTGTCGCTTCCGACAACTTCGCAACCGTTCCAGTCCCCCCCTGCGAAATTGCTTCAGAATCGCCAACCGCGGTTACTAACGACTCTCATCCGTCGCAACCAAGAATCGGTACCACCGACAACAGCAGAGATCTGATTCAGACCCTCCCGCGGATGCGTTCCCACCACCGTCGATCTCACAGCGTCTCCGAAGTGACGTCACTCTGGAGCATCAGCGGGCCGTGGTCTACGAAACCCGGAACCACCCGCTTTTCGGATCTCACTCTTGATGTTACTGATATTGCTTGTGGTGGTGACATTACCATCCCCAGAATCGATGGTTGCAAATCCCTGGAGCATTTTCAGTCCCCGTCGCAGCGCGAATGGGGGAGAAGCTCGGTTGGCGGGATTGCTGATCAACATCACAGCAAGTATTGGCACAGCCCGGCTAAATCGCCGATTGCGCAGCCAAAACCGGTGAGGGATCACAGGAGGTGCCACTCGATCACCGAAATCGACGGCTCTCTGTTTGAAGATTTGGCTGCTAACGATTCGGATGCCGCATCTCGCGGATCCGAAGAAACTGGCTCTACTCTCAAGCGGAGCTGAACCCTAAAACGGAAGCGTTAATGGCGCTTGTCGCGAATACAGATACCGTGTAGGTTATTCAGCGAGAGAGCTTGAATGGATGGTTGCGTCTCATGCATCTTGTTTGGTGTGGTGTAGGTTGTGGCTTGTATTGAGCTGCGGATGTCTGCATAAAGTGTATGCTCATAATAAGAGCTTCACCTGAATTGTTACTGAAAAGGAATTCGTAGTACTTTTCACTCATCTGATCCACTCAACCACTTGGATTTCTCACATTGAGGACTCGCGAAAGGGGTTCAGATAAGGCTCCTAAGGGTGCAGGCATACATGACTAATTTTCAGTGTGAACACAAATAAACCCATGAGATATGCCTCTTCGTAGCATGTCATGCATTCACTGAATTCATTTACCAGTGTCCAACCACAAGAGCCTGCAGAAGCGGTATCATTCATCCCAACACATTTAGTCATGCTTGGTTGAAACACACAGAACAGCCAGTAGGATTGGCCACTGCAGTTCAAAACCCCTCTCCTCAATTTGCCTCCCTCACTCCTCGATCCGCTTCCCTCTCAAACTCCCCCCAAAACCTTCTCTGCCGCATATCCTCAGCAGTAATAGGTTTCCTCCAGATGCTCTTTCCCACCCCATCCACATCATCCAAGAGCTTGGAAAACTGCTTCGGAAGCCGGGCAGCTAAAAAACCATCAACGTCAAAATCCTCCATCTCATCGCCGTACTCATCCAGAAGAGCCGCAGAACCCCCCTCTGCCTCCCCAACTGCAGCACCACTGCTGCTGGTACCCTCCCTACTGCTGCTGTCACCGCTGCTACTGCTGCTGCCGCTGCTGCTGCTACTGGAGACATCGGTTCGAGAGGAGGAGAATGGCATGGGCCGCGTGGGGCTGAAGAGGGCTTTCATGCGGTCGATGGCTGGCCCGATGATGCCCCCTAGGTCCCACGTGGCTGGCTCCATCACCTCAGTGCGCTGTTGGGTGGAGGTGGGGGTGAGGTGAGGGGGAGGGGTTGGAAATAGGACGAGGTAAGACGGAGAGGGTTGGCCCGATGATGCCCCCTAGGTCCCACGTGGCTGGCTCCATCACCTCAGTGCGCTGTTGGGTGGAGGTGGGGGTGAGGTGAAGGGGAGGGGTTGGAAATAGGACGAGGTAAGACGGAGAGGGTTGGCCCGATGATGCCCCCTAGGTCCCACGTGGCTGGCTCCATCACCTCAGTGCGCTGTTGGGTGGAGGTGGGGGTGAGGTGAGGGGGAGGGGTTGGAAATAGGACGAGGTAAGACGGAGAGGGTTGGCCCGATGATGCCCCCTAGGTCCCACGTGGCTGGCTCCATCACCTCAGTGCGCTGTTGGGTGGAGGTGGGGGTGAGGTGAAGGGGAGGGGTTGGAAATAGGACGAGGTAAGACGGAGAGGGTTGGCCCGATGATGCCCCCTAGGTCCCACGTGGCTGGCTCCATCACCTCAGTGCGCTGTTGGGTGGAGGTGGGGGTGAGGTGAGGGGGAGGGGTTGGAAATAGGACGAGGTAAGACGGAGAGGGTTGGCCCGATGATGCCCCCTAGGTCCCACGTGGCTGGCTCCATCACCTCAGTGCGCTGTTGGGTGGAGGTGGGGGTGAGGTGAGGGGGAGGGGTTGGAAATAGGACGAGGTAAGACGGAGAGGGTTGGCCCGATGATGCCCCCTAGGTCCCACGTGGCTGGCTCCATCACCTCAGTGCGCTGTTGGGTGGAGGTGGGGGTGAGGTGAGGGGGAGGGGTTGGAAATAGGACGAGGTAAGACGGAGAGGGTTGGCCCGATGATGCCCCCTAGGTCCCACGTGGCTGGCTCCATCACCTCAGTGCGCTGTTGGGTGGAGGTGGGGGTGAGGTGAGGGGGAGGGGTTGGAAATAGGACGAGGTAAGACGGAGAGGGTTGGCCCGATGATGCCCCCTAGGTCCCACGTGGCTGGCTCCATCACTTCCGTTCGCTGTTGGGTGGAGACGAAGTGGGGGAAGGGAAAGCTACCGCCACAAGTGGCCCACCAGTAAGCTACCCCCACAAGTGACCCACCTGCTGCAGGCGCATCAGCCTGAGCTCCTCTGCCCGCACGGCATTCCCTTGCCTCTCCTCCATGGCAGCCCACGAGCGCCACACCACCGAGTTGCCTGAGTCTGCTGCCAGTGCTCTCTTGAACAGCGCCCTCGCCAGCCCTATGTTGCCCTCCCGTTCCTCCAACACTGCCCATGCCTGGGAGGGGTGAAGGGGTGGGAGGAGGAGGGGTGTCAGTACAGAAATGGGTGCTTGTCAATATATGGAAAGCTAGTTGGAGTAGCGGTGATAATAGAAGTAGGACCAGCGAGGGAGAGATGCAATGCAAGTAATGAAGAAGCAATCCTGGGTCGCCATGGGAATGCTTGACTTCGTTAACTCAGGAAGCCTCCTTAAAAGCCTGGCAGCAGTTGAAACTGTTGACTTGGAAGACTCACCTGGATCGCTCTGGCAGCATTAGGCGAGGAGTCACTTCCCTCCACGGCCCGCTGACATTATCTGCTCTTCCCCTCTTGACTTAATTGACTCACCTGGAACACTCTGGCAGCGTTGGGAGAGGAGTCATTGCCCTCTACAGCCCTCTGGTAGAGCTCCCTTGCTCGCTGCACGCGCCCCTCCTTCCACTCCATCCACCCCCACGCCTGGTAAACCGGGGGGGTGAAGGGAGGAGACAGAAGGAAAAGGATGAAGGCAACAAAACACCCGCCCTTCCCTCCATAGCTGAACAACTCTCTAACTGAGCCTGTGAACCCACACTCATACTCCAGCAGAGCCAGCGCCTGCAGCAGCGCAGCATCACCTAGACCACTCAACACCCAGTAACACCCCTCTGCACCACACACCACTCACCGTCCACACGGGCTGGTGGTTGGGGTCAACGAGTGAAGCCTGACTGAAGTGCTCTCTGGCCGTCCCTGTGAAGCCGCACTCATACTCCAGCAGAGCCAGCGCCTGCAGCAGTGCTGCGTCTTTAGGGTTGAGCTGCGCCCCCCGCTGCAGCAGCAGCCTCCCCCGGTCGTACCTCCCCTGGGCTGCTTCGAACAGCCCCCACGCCTGCCACGTGTAGGGGTTCTTGGGACTGGCATTCAGAGAACGCTGGGGGCGGAAGGAGGGAAAGGAGAAACGGGGGAGCAGGATAGAGGGCATAGAGGCAAATGGTGGAGTGAGCCTTGAGTGGTCTCAAACAGTCCCCATGCCTGACACGTGTCGGGGTTCTTGGGACTGGCATTCAGGGAACGCTGGGGGGTTGGGGGAAGGAGGGAAGAGAAGGGGTGGACAAGGGAGAGAGGGAGGTGTAAGGAGGGTGATGGGAAGGTGCAACAAGGGTGAAAGGGCCAGTAGAGCCAGCGCCTGCAGCAGCGCGGCGTCTTTTGGGGTTGAGCTGCGCCGTAAGCTGGAGACAGGGTGAGAGTAAGCTGTAAGTAGGGTGAGAGAGAGGAGGAAGTGAAGTGAAACAGGCTCAAACAGCCTCCATGTTTCAATTCAAACAGCCACGTGTAGAGGTTCTTGGGGCTGGGCCTTCTGAGGTGCCTGAACATACGATTTCTGCAATTTGCGGCGCCTCACTAGGGGTTTTTTGGGGCTGGCGAAAGAGCAGGGGAGGGTATGCCTAGAAGGAGTCTACTAAAGCAGCAAGGTGGGAGGTGGTTCTAAGGTATACCTGGAAGAGCAGGCGGGCAGAGGCGCCGTCTCCCTGCTGAGCTTCCAGCAGGGCCCATACCAGCCAGCTGGCGGCGCTCTTGGCATTCATGATTCATCCTCTGAGGAGAGAATATAGTGGAGGTGACACTCAGAGCAGCATCAACAGAGAAAAGGGCAGCAAAGGTCATACCTGGAAGAGCAGGCGAGCAGAGGCGCCATCTCCCTGCTGAGCCTCCAGCAGTGCCCATGCCAGCCAGCTGGCGGCACTCTTGGCATTCATCCTTGTGGCCTGCAGGAAGAGCGCCCTTGCTTCTGCCACACGCCCACTCTGCACCTCCATCACCGCCAGAGTCTGATGGGGAAGGGGTGCGGGCTTCGGTGGAGAGGGGTAAGAGGACGGGAACTGGTTATCTGGGGTGTGTGTTTGCGTGCATACAACACTGGTTTACTGCTGACTGGCGGCGCTCTTGGCGTTCATCCTCGTGGCCTGCAAGAATAGCGCTCTTGCCTCGGTCACACGCCCGCTCTGCACCTCCATCACCGCTAGGGTCTGGTGGGGAATGGGGGAAAAGAAGTGAGTAGGAGGAGGGAGGACGGCAAAATTTGAGGGTGGGAAAGCAAAGAATTATTCTGAGTACCCAACCGCTCCGCATCTACTTACACTGCAATATGCATGCATTCGTTATAAGACGCACCTGGTATATCTACTCGTCATAAGACGTACCTGGTATATCTACTCGTTATAAGACGTACCTGGTATATCTACTCGTTATAAGACGTACCTGGTATATCTACTCGTTATAAGACGTACCTGGTATATGTACTCATTCCCGCCGCACATTCCCCTGCTTCAGCTCCAGCACCGCTCACCCATGCCTGGTGTACGTACTCGCTAGCCGTACCTGGTATATGTACTCGTTATAAGACGCACCTGGTATACATACTCGGTAGCCGTACCTGGTATATGTACTCGCTATAAGACGCACCTGGTATACATACTCGCTAGCCGTACCTGGTATATGTACTCGCTATAAGACGCACCTGGTATATGTACTCGTTCCCACCACACAGCTTTAGCCCCTTCTGCAGCAGCTCCCTCGCCCGGCGCACATTCCCCTGCTTCAGCTCCAGCACCGCCCACCCATGCCATGCTGCCACGTGTCTCTCATCTGCCACCGTGGCAGCATCAAACAGCTTACGCGCCTTCTCCACGTTGCCTGCCTGCGCCTCCAGCACAGCCCAGGTCTGGAAACGAGGAAAGTGATTATGAAAAAAAAAGGGATTGATATCGGGGGATGGATGGAGAGGGGAGTGGATGGGGGAGATAATGAGAGAGGCGCCTAGCAGTCGCCTAGCCATAGTGGCTGGCAGCATCAAAAGGCCAGCCTTTTAAAAGCCCTACCACTCCCTCCTCCCCCCTCGTTGCCGCCTCCCCACCCCCACCTTGCCCCATCCCCAAATTACCCTTCCCCCGCCCCCCCCCCACCTTCCCTTTCTCCTCCACCGACCTGCCAGATGAACGCGTTATCTCCGCCCAGCGCCTGGCAGCCGTCTTCAAAGACTCGGCGCGCTTCTCCCAGCCTGCCCTTCCGCTGCAGCATGCGCCCCAGCACCACGTACGGCCGCCCGTCGTCCGGCCAGTCGCGCACAGCCTGGGAAATGGGGAAGTGTTGCGGGGAGGGAAAGGGAAGGGGAGGGGAAGAAAGCGGGGAATACGAGTCAGACAAAAGATCCCTCGCTCACTTGCGCTGCAGCATGCGCCCCAGCACCACGTACGGCCGCCCGTCGTCCGGCCAGTCGCACACAGCCTACAACGGTTTCAGGGCGAGGGGAAAGGAAACCGGAAAGGGGAGGGTGAGGTGACGAAAGTGAGGGGGGTAAGTGGAAGCGGGAAGGGGGAGGTGAGGAAGGTGAGGGGGGTAAGCAGAACGGGGTAAGGGGAAAGGTGGGGTTCCGACGGAGTCCAGATGGTCCATCCGCTGTCAAGGAGTCTCATTCTTGGAGAAGGTTTTTGAAACTTACAAGCGCTGCTGCGCTGACGACAACGCTCCTTTCCTTCCTCTCCCCTCCAATTCAGCCCATTTGACTCCCCTTCCCCCTCCTTCCGCCCCATGACCCCATCCCCTTTCCTTCTCCCCTCCCCCCTTTCCCCCTTTCCCGCTCCCTCTTCCGCCTACCTTGCGCATGAGCCCTTTCGCCTACCTTGCGCATGAGCCCTTCCGCGTCTTGCGCCTTGCCGATGCGGAACAGGTTGCGCGCGCGGTAGATGTCAAGGTCCAGGTTAATCTTCAGCCGCTTGGGTTCGTCGTTCTTCGGGGCGGGCGGAGCCCACCGCAGCGCCCCGCGCAGTGCCGCTGCCGCCCCAGGGGGAAGCTGGCTCAGACCGCCTGGGCGGAGCGGGAGGGGGGCGTGTGGGGGGGGGGGGGGGGGAAGAGGGCGGAAGGGAGGTGGGGGGAGGATGGAGAAGGAGGTGCGGGATACGATGGGAAATGAAATTGGACGGACGGGAAAAGTCGTTTTTCGGGGAAGGGAGAGCAAATCGAAGCGTCCGCGCAGTGAAGCAGCCTCTCTGGGGAAAGGCGGGCTTAGACGGCATTGGGAAGGGAAAAGGTGAAGTGGAGGCGAGAGCTGCAGAGAGGGGGAGGAGTGACGCATCGGAGAGGGAGGTATCTGGAGGAAGATATATCTAACGTTTCACACTTGCGCTTCTCGGAAGGGATTTCGAACCAAGAATGGTTGAGAGCATGGAATGCGGAGATTATTTCGCCCGAAGTCAATGACACCAATAAGCCAGTCAGAGTTACTCAGTTTTGGCCAATACAGCAGACGGCGAAAGCAAAATTGGCTGTTGAATGGGAGAACGACGTGAGAGCGGAAGGAGCAACGGGTTAGAAGGCACTGCGCGATTGCAGCCTAAACACTAGCAGAAACGACGGGTGCGGCTTACCGTCGTTGCCAATTCCGCGGCTCATCCGTGACTCGAGGAGGAAATCGCTGACGATGTCATTCTCCTGCGCAGCCATTCCGCTCCGCTCCTCGATTCCACCGCCACTCCCTATCGGAAGCTCCATATCCTCCGCACTGCTCTCCGCCGTCTCCTCCCTCTCAAACTTTTCAACCGACTCAAACCGGGTCTTACCGAACTCAGTCGGCTCAGCACCGGGCTGGACCGCTCTTATGTTCCCGTTTTCCTCCAGAGCCACCCCGTCTACAATACCCCCTTGCGACGCAGCGGCAGTAGCGGCAGCAGGAGCGGCGGCAACAACAACGGCACTATCAACTCCTAAACTAGCCTGCGATAGTTTAGCAGTAGGCCGGGGTAGGGTTGTCTTCAGCAACCAACCCTTTTCAGTCAGCGACCACATCTTGCTCCTCCGCCGACGCCTGCCTGATTGGCCAGCAGCCTTGGCGGCTTCGTCTTGCGAGGCAAAGATTCCAGGAGATTTCTCAAGTCCTTCTGCAAGGGTTCTCCATCCAGACTTGTCCTTTTCGTCCTCCGTCGTCGTTCCGTTGATATTCGTTCCGTTAACTGTCGCGCCGTCTCCTCTTGACGACAGCACGAAAGTGGAAATTTCGGAGGAATCTGAATTCTGGTTTTCCACGGGACGCCATTCGAGCGAGGTTGGCGAAATGTGTGTTCCCGAGTTACCAGGAGATTCACCAGTTGCATCCGTTTCAGGGAATCTGCTAGACGAAGAGGGAGGATTTACTGATACGCGGTCGTTAATCGCGACAGCCAAGGGGTCGACTGTGGCTCTACGACCTTCGCGAGCAGACTGGCATTTCGCGGACCTCTCGTTACCTTTCGCGGACCTCTCGTTACCTTTCGCCAGCCGCACCAGCTGGCGTTGAGAGGCTCGCCCAGACTGGAGGAACTCGCTCTGGCTAAGCTCCAGAGGAGCGTGCGCTGGAGCTGAGAGAAGCGATAGCCTTAGTGAACCCATGACATTCGACGCCATGGATTCGGAAATGCTAAGGCTTCTAACTTCGTCTGGAAGTAAATTATCTGGAGGTTGTGTGGGTTCACACTCAGGATGGGGGAGTCGAAACTTGGAGCCTTGAAAATGACGACTCTGCCGAATTCTGGTTACCCTGACGAAATGCGTGAGGCCCTCGCCATGTATAGTGTGGTTTTTGTTCAAATAATTTCGTCGAGGCTCGTGCGAGGGATACTTTCGCGATCCCTGGAGGTTGACGGGAATTCTACATCGAACCAGTGACCGCCACGAAGGCGACTGGAGGCTCCAAGTTACGTGGAGAAAGGACCGCGCAGCCAATCGGGCCTCCGCTCTTGCGATGCATTCAGATTGCCCAACTTTCACTTCTTTGAGGATAGCTCATTCACCTTCGCTATTATACAACCTGGTAATACACGGAAATACCTAAACTACTCACATATATACAAGAGAACAATCACTTCGTTTGATAGCTCCTTGCAGCATCCCATGCCTTGAATTCAGCTAGCTTTAGCTTTCTATCCTCAGAACTCATTTGCAATATCTTCCTCGAAAATTCCTCACCGCTTGGTTCTCCAACCCAAGCAGCCATGCGTGCGAACATTTCCGCCTTCACATTCGTTGATGTCGCAAGGCGCTGCTTCTCTCGGCGTACCTCCACTCGTTGCTTAAGCAGCTGTCGCGGCATAAGCCGCTCTGCCGAAGCCTCCACTCCACCCTCCTTAATCCTTTTTCTAGTATTCAGCCCCTTTTGCTGCTCTTGTGCATCTCCCTTCCTCTTCCCTCCACCACCATCCTCCACCACTCCACTCTCCCCGGAAATTCCCGCCCTCGCCCCGCTCCTCTTCCTCTTCATTGATCCTGCCGCCCGATCCTGCTTCTTTATTGAACGTGACAAAGTGCAGGGCGTGACTGAGGCAGGAGGAGGGCGAGACGGAAGTTGGGGCTTGGTTGGACAGTCATCCAAGGGTGCAGCAGCCAATCGGGTGCCGGTCCTGGAGCCATTGTGGCCCCTGATGACGTCATCATTCACATGGGTGTATACCACGCCAGCATCAAGAAGCTCGTCCGGTATAGACCCCATGGCATAGTCATCATGACCCATGCCATGTGGATCATGACCCATGCCATGTGCGTCATGGCCCATGCCATGTGAGTCATGGCCCATGCCATGTGCTTCATGGCTCATGCAATGTGCATCATGGCCCATGCCATGTGCGTCATGGCCCATGCCATGTGCATCATGACCCATGGCATTTGCATCATGCCCCATGCCATGTGCATGACTACCCATCCCCTCTGCTTGCTCCCCGTTCACATCATCACCCCCACTATCCTCAATCTCATCCTCTTCCTCCTCCTCCCCATCCCTGTCTCCTCTCCCATCCAAACCTTCTTCCCCCTCCCTACCCTCCCTTCTCCCCTTCCTCCTCTCACACCTCCCCCTTCCTCTCCCTTTAATCTTCTTCCATACACCAGGCACCTCTCTCTCCTCTACGAATCTCGCTAGCCCACTCACACCATTGTCATCTTCCTCATCCTTCCTCCCCTTCACCCTACAGGCTTTCACCAGCATTTCCTCTCTCTTACTTGCCAAGCCAAGTCCTTCGCCTTCAGATGATATGCCAGGTGCTTCAGGAGATTCACCAGGTGTTTCAGGTGCCATGCCACCAGCAGGCACCTGAACAACAAGCAGATCATTTCCGTCCCTTTCCAAATCACGGAGCTACGTTCCCCGCACAGCTGACTGTTCAGAACTCCTTGGAATCTGCCTTCCCACGTCCTCCACCTGTCGTTTCTCTGCCATGCTTCCTGTCTCCTCCTCCATCTCCTGCCCCCCCTGCTGCTTCTCCTGCTGTTGCTGCTGTTGTGGCTGCCTGGTTGCCTTCCCTATGATCTCGGCTGACAGAATGCTCGTGCTGCGGTCTTGAAACAGGTTTGCCAATCCAAACAGCTCCCCTTGATGGGCCTTGGAACCCTGAGAGGGAGGGACACAGAGAGGGGTGGAGAGGAGTTTTTACAACATGTCTCAACCGTTAACAGAATGCTCGTGCTGCGGTCTTGAAACAGGTTGGCCACTCCAAATAGCTCCCCTTGGTGGGCCTTGCAGCCCTGAGGGAGAGAAGGACATGGAATGAATAAATCAGAAAATTGCAATGATCAATTCACATAAATTTCCTGTAGAAGCTTCGCACAAGCCTGGAGTCTCTGCCTTTCGCCTCCACCCCTCTGCCATCTCTCCCTCCTTCCCTCTCCCTTCCCCTGCTCCACCCCCTAGAGTCAGTTCAAGAGCCACTCTTGTTAACCCACCTGCACGCCTGTGAAGTATCGGTTCTCCGTGGCCCCTTCAATCGCGATATTGGTCTGCTGCTGCTTGTACACCTGCCGCAGGTAAACCACCTCCTCCACCGTCCCGCCCGCCACCAGTCGGTATACCGACACGTGCCGCGTCTGCCCAAATCGGAAAGAGCGATCCTGAGCCTGCATGTAAAGTGAGGGGCGGAGGTTAGGGAAGGAGAAAGCGGACGTTATGGAATTTCATATGAGAGACACATCACCTCCTCCTCCTCCACTGTCCAGCTCGCCACCAGCCATACACAGACAAGTCTGAACGAACTGTTGTGAGCCTGTGAGAGGCGTGAGGAGGGAGCAGGGGGAAGTGATGGGAGCAATTGAAATGGTGGCAGATGCACCTCCTCCTGCACTGTGCCGCCCGCCACCAGCCGGTACTCAAAGCAGACATTCAAAGCTGGCCCTCAAAGCAGGCCCTCAAAGCAGGCCCTCAAAGCAGGCCCTCAAAGCAGGCCCTCAAAGCAGGCCCTCAAAGCAGGCCCTCAAAGCAGGCCCTCAAAGCAGACATGCCCTCAACGCAAGCAGCCCACACAACCCTTACCTGTAGATCATGGGCAGGGTTCCACGTGGGATCGAATATGATCACTCGATTGGCGCTGACCAGGTTGAGACCGATACCGCCTGCCTTGGTTGATATGAGGAACACCTGGCAGGAGGGAGAGGGAGGGAAATCGGAGGCAGAGCAGAACAGGGCGATTAGGAAATGAGTTTCCTTGTGCGTGGGCCAAATATGATGACTCGATTGGCGCTAACTAAGTTGAGACGGATTCCCCCTGCCTTGGTGGAAATGAGAAACACCTGAAGGGTGAGAGAGGGGGGAAGAGGACAGGGGGAGGGGGGGGATAGGCACAGGACAGGGCAGAAGCAAAGTCACTGCGGTGGCACAAAGCTGCACTCGCTTCGAGGGGCAGGAGCCGAATTCGTGCAAAGCATGAGAGCCGGGCGTGTTGCAGTGGAGCCCGGCGAGTTTAGTTTTGAGACGTCTCAACACTCACTTAGAGGGGCAGGAGTCGAATTTGTACACAACAGGAGGGCCGTGGAACCGTTAAGGCGAGCGGTTGGTGTTGCTGTCATGGCAGGCGGAGTGTGTGTTTACAAATGACACAAGTGAGCCTGACCTGTATCGAAGGGCTGGAGTTTAACCCGTGCACGAGAGCCTGCCTTGTTGCTGTTGAGGTAGAGCCGTCAAGGCAGGAAGAGTGTGTGTCTATAAGGAGAACGGTGCGCCTCACCTGTATAGAAGGGCTGGAGTTGAAGCTGTGCACGAGGGTCTGGCGCATTGCTGTGGAGGTAGAGCCATCAAGGCGAGAGAAGAAGATCCCTCTGGCCTCTAGAAACCTCTGAAGCACGTCCAGCATTCTGAGTTGAGGGGAGACGCATGGAGCAGGGGGAGAGACGAGCAGGTGACGTAGGGGTGACCTTTCTGACGAGACGAGTGGATAGAGGTAAAGCGAGAGAAGGAGATCCCTCTGGCCTCTAAAAACCTCTGAAGCACGTCCAGCATTCTGAGTCGAGGGGAGACGCATGGAGCAGGGGGAGAGACGAGCAGGTGACGTAGGGGTGACCTTTCTGACGAGACGAGTGGATAGAGGTAAAGCGAGAGAAGGAGATCCCTCTGGCCTCTAAAAACCTCTGAAGCACGTCCAGCATTCTGAGTTGAGGGGAGACGCATGGAGCAGGGGGAGAGACGAGCAGGTGACGTAGGGGTGACCTTTCTGACGAGACGAGTGGATAGAGGTAAAGCGAGAGAAGGAGATCCCTCTGGCCTCTAAAAACCTCTGAAGCACGTCCAGCATTCTGAGTTGAGGGGAGACGCATGGAGCAGGGGGAGAGACGAGCAGGTGACGTAGGGGTGACCTTTCTGACGAGACGAGTGGATAGAGGTAAAGCGAGAGAAGGAGATCCCTCTGGCCTCTAAAAACCTCTGAAGCACGTCCAGCTTTCTGAGTTGAGGGGAGACGCATGGAGCAGGGGGAGAGACGAGCAGGTGACGTAGGGGTGACCTTTCTGACGAGACGAGTGGATAGAGGTAAAGCGAGAGAAGGAGATCCCTCTGGCCTCTAAAAACCTCTGAAGCACGTCCAGCATTCTGGGACGAGGGGGAAGAGAGGCAGAGCAGGAGTTGAGACGAACGAACAGGTGAGGTACACTCGTTGAATGAGTGGAAGGAGGGAGGTTATGGGAGAGGATCCCCCCTCTGACCTCTAGAGAACGCTGAAGCTTATCCAGAATTCTGAGACGAGCGGGAGACAGGAAGAGCAGGAAGCGAACAGGTGAGGTAGGCGCAACAACATTCTAACGCTTTGCTTGGCCACGGTGCTTCGGTTTGACTTGACTTCCTTTGACTTACTTGACCGAGTGGCTGAAGAGTAACACTTTATCGCCCTTCCCACACCACTGCTTCAGCAACCGATCCAGCGCCCTCAGCTTCCCACAGTGCTCACTGCTGCCCAGTGTCAGCAGATCGCTCGCCGCCCTCACACCGCCCGCCAGGTCAGCATCGCCGGCCAGCGCCAGCCTGGCAAATGCGTGATCCCTAGCTTGCTTGTCTGGAGGGTCCCTGGGGTTGGGCTTTAACAGCTCCAAGTGGTTGCTGATCTGAAAAGGGGAAAGGAGGAGAGGAACGGGAGGAAGGTGATAGAGGCCGGGTCGAGAAGGAGGTGCAGAGAATGAATCCCTAGCTTGCTTGTCTGGAGGGTCCCTGAGGTTGGGCTTTAACAGCTCCAGATGGTTGCTGATCTGGAGAGGGCACGGATGGTTTTGAAAGGAAGGGGAGGACGGAGACAAAGGTACTTCAGTGAAACTGGAAATTTCTGGCCTGCCTGTTCCCGGTGTCTCTGGGATTGAGCTTTAGCAGCAACTCACCCACCTGCGGCACCCACTCACCCACCTGCTGCAGTTTTGACAGGCAGGGGAAGAGCACGCAGAAGGGGCAGCGCGGGCAGCAGAGGCCGTCCGGGTGGAGGGACGACCACAGCACGCCTCCCCCTCCCATCTCCTCGCCCCCGTCCCCTTTATGGTGGCACTCGCTGCGCTTCCTTGGCCCACCACAGCTGTTGGAGATACAAGGACAAAGGAGGACGGTTACAAAATTAAGGGCCGCATCAATCTGCATAAACGCCCCTCCCCTCCCCTCTATCTTCCCCTCTCCCCTCCCCCGCCCCTCTCCTCGCCCCCGTCCCCTTTATGGTGGCACTCACTGCGTTTCCTCGGCCTGCCACAGCTGTTAAACAACAAAGAGCATAACAGCCTCACAGCCTAACAGCCTCACAGCCTAGCAGCCTAGCAGCCTAGCAGCCTAGCAGCCTAGCAGCCTAGCAGCCTAGCAGCCTAGCAGCCTAGCAGCCTAGCAGCCTAGCAGCCTAGCAGCCTAGCAGCCTAGCAGCCTGACAGCCTGACAGCCTGACAGCCTAGCGGCGTAACAGCGTAACAGCGTAACAGCCTAACAGCCTAACAGCCTAACAGCCTAACAGCCTAACGGCGTAACGGCGTAACAGACTAACAGCCACAGCCTAACAGCCTAACAGCGAAACAACCTAACGGCGTAACAGCGTAAGAGCCTAACAGCCTAGCAGCCTAACAGCCTAACAGCGTAACAGCCTAACAGCCTAACAGCCTAACAGCGTAACAGCCTAACAGAGTAACAGCGTAACAGCCTTACAGCCTAACAGCCTAACAGCGTAACAGCGTAACAGCCTAACAACGTAACAGCCTAACAGCGTAACAGCGTAACAGCCTAATAGTGTAACAGCATAACAGCCTAACAGCCAAACAGCGTAACAGCCTAACAGCGTAACAGCCTAAGAGCCTCACGACGTAACAGGCTAGCAGCGTAACAGCGTAACAGGCTAGCAGCCTAACACCTAACAGCCTCACGGCGTAACAGCGTAACAGCGTAACAGCCTAACAGCCTAACAGCGTAACAGGCTAGCAGCGTAACAGCGTAACAGGCTAGCAGCCTAACAGCCTAACAGCCTAACAACATAACAGCCTAGCAGCCCAACAGCCTAACAGCCTAACAGCCTAACAGCCCAACAGCCTAACAGCCTAACAGCCTAACAGCCTAACAGCCTGCAGGTCAAGCAGGTAGTTTCAAACACCGCTGGTACACCCTCCTCTGGAGTGAGTTTCCAGTCCCTTACAGGCTAAGATTTACCCCTAAACCTTCTCTCACTCACCTGCATCGCTCGTCCTTTCTTGAGAGCAGCTGAAAGTCCGGCAGTTTCAGACAGCGTTGATACACCCTCCTCTGGAGTGACGTCATCGGGCAAACCACGATCATGTCGCGCTTTCCTGGAAGCTTCAGCGAGCCCTGGAGGTCATCCTTGTGCCGCCGAAGCAGCACCCGAGCCAGCGCCCGAACCAGCTCCGCCTGCCGAGCCTGTGCCCGAGCCACGAGAGGGTGGGGAGCCCCCTTGCGCTGACCCTGTGGGTGTGGTTGGGCAGAGAACGAGGTGAGGAAGGGGATGGGAAAAGAAAACTACGAACTGCAGAGGGTTGCTGTATTGCTCGCTAAAATCCTTCAAGGTACCAAGAAACCCCAGGCGCACCCACTGCAGCACACTCCACAGCTCTTCCTCTCCCCCTACCCCACTAATCCTCATGCACCCACCAGCCTGAGAGGGTCGCTGTATTGCTCATTGAACTCCTTGAGAGAGCCCAGATAGCCCCGCCGCACCCACTGCAGCACACTCCAGAGCTCTCGAAACTCGTTCTGCATGACTGTGCCTGAGAGGCCGTAGCGACGCGCAGTGTTGATGCGATCCGCACACTGGGAGAGTGAGGGCGGGGAGGAGACGAGGGAGGGGACAGGGAGAAGGGAGGGGAGGGCGAACAGAAGGGTTGGGGACCAGAAATCATGTTCACACCCACTGCAGCACACTCCACAGCTCTCGAAACTCGTTCTGCGTGACTGTGCCTGACAGGCCGTAGCGACGCGCAGTATTGATGCGATCCGCACACTGGGAGGGAGGGAGGAATGGGGGGCGACGAGGGGAGGAAGGGGAGGAGGGAAGCAGATGGGAGAAGGACGTTGACGGACGTTGAAGGACGTTGACGGACGTTGAAGGACGTTGAAGGACGTTGAAGGATGTTGACGGACGTTGAAGGACGTTGACGGACGTTGAAGGACGTTGACGGACGTTGAAGGACGTTGAAGGACGTTGAAGGACGTTGAAGGATGTTGACGGACGTTGACGGACGTTGACGGGGGGAGATTCAAATAAAAAAGAAATGGGCGAGCACCTGCTGTAAAGAAACACAAAGCTCACTTGGAACAAAACTCTGGAACATGGAAGAGAGCTGATCTGTAGCTATGCAGTCGATGCACCTCATCCACTATCGCCATGAGCCATGGGTGTGGGCACAGCGTGTGCACCGCATATACACATAGGAGCCTTCAAGCCTACAAAGTCGCCTCACTGTACCTGGAATAGAGCTGAGCCATAACTTCGTAGTTTGTGCACCTCATCCACTATCGCCATGAGCCATGGGTGTGGGGACAGTGAGCCAGCTACATACATGAACAACTCAATAGTATAATGTATGTACCATTTTACCAGCATTTTACCATGCCCGAAATAATGCTGAGCTGTAGCTTCTTAGCTTGTGCACCTCGTCCACTATCGCCATGAGCCAAGCATGCGGGCACAGCATGTCAGCTGCAACGTGGATATATAAACAATTCCATACATTCATTCCATTATACCTGGAACAGAGCTGAGCTGTAGCTTCGCAGCTTGTGCACCTCATCCACTATCGCCATGAGCCATGGGTGGGGTCACAGTGTGTCAGCTGAACATACATACAACTCCAAAGAATCATTTCACCCCACCTGGAAAAGAGCGGAGCTGTAGCTTCGCAGCTTGTGCACCTCGTCCACTATCGCCATGAGCCAGGGGTGCGGGCAGAGGGTGTCAGCTGCAACCCGGAACGTGTCGAACGTGGTCAGCACGACCTGCGGTGAGGAGGATGGTGGGATGGGCAGAATGAGATAGGGGAATGCTGAGTCGACTCAACCCAAATGTCGGCTGCAACCAACACAGGTCCCACCTCAGCCCAAACTGAGCGCAGTTGCACCAGAGCAGCCTCCCTGTGTGGGCTGTGGAGAAGAACAGACGCCAATAGTGTGGAATGCCCCCACCAACCACCTACTACTAACACTCACCTCGGCCCATCCTGAGCGCAGCTGCACCAGAGCAGTCTCTCTGTGTGACCCGTGGAAGATGGAGATTCGGAAGTGCCCCCACCGATTCAGCTCCTCCTGCCAGTTGCCCAGCACTGAGCTCGGCACCACCACCAGTATTGCCCTCCCTGCTGCCCCTCCTGCGCTACTCCCTCCCGCTGCTGTCCCCCCTGCACTGCTTCCCAATTGGCCCGTCGTTGGCTCTCTTTCCCTCGCTGCTGCTGTGGTTGTTGCAGCAGCAGCCGCTGCTGAGACCGCAGCTGCCTGTGGTGCGGCTGCAGTCAAAGCAACTGAGGGAGCAGCCATGTCGTCAGCTGAGCCTGTCTTTCCCAGCACTGCTGCCATCAGCGCGATCGCCTGAATCGTCTTGCCCAAGCCGCTGATCACACAACACAAATGGTCCCCTCGACACAAATTGTTCAGATGACACAAACTGACCAAAAACTTATCAAGCATCACAAGTCATTCTGTCTGGTCCCAAACATTCACCTTTATACAGCCACCTTCGTCACAGTCACCCTCCGATCCAAGTGGTCACCGCTACAACAGCCACTTCCCATGCACCCGCCTCCACTATAGTCACGTACATGTCATCTGCCAGAATGCCGCCCGTGCTGTGTCGGAACAGTCGGTACAAGAACCGCACCCCCTCCTTTTGATGCTCCATCAGGTGCCTACTTATAGACGCTGGCACCCTCACCACATCCTTGTCGCTCCCACTCTCTGGCGACGTCACCCTGTTACTCTTTTCGTCAATTTCGCCCTCTACTGGCCACACCACCAGCCCTTCGCCCACCTCCTCACTTCCCCACACACCTCCATAACTATCCCACTCTGCCTCCTTCCTCCTCTCTTCTTCCTCTAAATAGTCCTCCCACGCCAGTGCCCTAGCATGCTTCACAGCCACGCTACCACTCGCTCCTTCTGCGTCATCATGCTCTTTTGAACTCTCGCCTCCCCTTCTTGCTCCTGCAAATTCTCCTGTTTTCCTTCCTGCCTCTTCCACTCCCCCTCCCAAACCTCCGTTCTTGTCTCCCCATCCTCCTTTTTTTCCTCCCCATTTTACTTCCTCACGTTCCTCTCTTCTCCTCTCTCCCCGTTCCCCTCCTCCCGTTCCTACTCCAACTTCGTCTCTACCACCCGAAGTTGCTGCCAAAACAGTACCCTGTGCCTCCGCAGCCGTATCTCCGACTCCTGAAGCGTTCGCTGATAACGCGTTCGCCGCAAGGTCGCCAGCGTTTCTCCCCGGGTTTTCTACCCTCGGAAAATCTGATGGCGTCGTTTCGACCGAACCTGACGTTTTCCGTCCGTCACAGGCTCTAAGCCATGCCGAGAACACTTGATCACGTGACGGACACGTCTCTTTAATCGCCTGACTTTCCTGCCTAACCTGCCGTTCCTGTGCCTTCTGACTCTCCCAATTCTCCCGAACAGCCTGACTATCCGACAATATACTCCGCCCGCTCTCTACCGGTCCTCGCCTCTCGTCCTCTCGTTTCCGCTCCTCGTCATCTTCCCTGCATCTGTCGCCTCCTGCCTTTTCTCGGTGCGTGCATTCGTCGTCTAGTCTGCTTCTATCTTCTCCCCCCTTGTCTTGGTCTCGACACCAATCAGGATCATTCGAGACGCCACCTTTCGAAGGCTTGAAAAAGAAATCGAAAAAATCATCGGTCGAAACCATGCTCGAGAAAAAAACTCGGGGGTATCAACCAGTCGAAGCATAAGCGGAAGTTCACGCGTCTAATTGGAATGCATAGGCTATCTCGAAAGACTCACATTTACTACTACTATAAGTCGAGAGTAAAGTTTATTACGTGACCTAGGCGTAACACTAATACGCTCAGGACGTGTGCAACGGGTCTGCGTAGGCGATCTTGAGTAAGGCTCTAAAAATGCTTCCATGCGGTTGTTCTCAGGGCGCTGTCAGGTTCTACAAGAATTATGTATATGCATATTCAGTTACCATATAACGCAGTTGTAACCACGGTTTTTGCTGTCTTCTGGACGCGATCAGATTCGGGGCATGAAATTTGTGTTGAATGGGTTTCGTGTCTATTCGTCTTGGGTACGAAACAACTTCATGCGCCAAGGCGCACAACAGTTCCTGATTCCGTCCGGAGCGCGATCAGGTGGTTCGAGCGAAAATCGTAGCACGATATCGCACGCGCTTTGCGACGCACGTAACCTGCATGTTGGGTTTTGCGATGCTAATTGCCTGACTTTTCCAAATCTAACAGTGCGCAAAACATTCGCACTGAGTGTCGGCTAAAAATCTGTAACAAAGGTTATGTCTCCTGCAGTGTTGCGTCGCGCAAATCTTGGCACTGTTCTGGCGGGGTGGTGTCCCGCGCATTGAAATGTGGACATGGGTGTCGACCAAGCGAAGACACCTCGTCCGTGAGTTCTTTGTGCCGCACATTGTAAAAGGACTGCAGAAAAAAACGCGCTGTACAACCTGACGTCGCTCTCAGACAGTGATGCTGGAACTATCCAAACATGAGTCAGTCGCGACTCGCGACACCTTTCTGTCAGGTTTGCCCATTCAAAACCAGTCTTCGAACCTCCGCGATGTCTTCAGTATAAAACGGACGGATATACGTTTTAGTACTCTAAGTATTTGTACAACAAGAAGCTCTATGAGAAGTTTGCATGCAACCTATAGATCTACATCATTTCAACATGATTACAAGATTACTATATCTGTCCCGCTTGATATTAGTTCAACCATATTTGATGCACTTCCAGTTCGAGGCCAGCAGCAAATTGACTACCGTGTTTGAAAGCTCAGGTAGTGAACTCATCACATACGGTAACCTTTTCCAAGTTATAACTGCAAACGAGAAGCTAATGTTGTTGGAATGAAAAAGCCCTTAGGATCGTTTTCAAGACTAAAGTCTCAGCTCAGTAGTGATGCATTAGCGGGAGCGTAATAGTGCATTAATTGAACCACCTTGCACTAGTATGTGAGAACAATATAAGTTGACCATAACATAGAGATACAAGGGCTTTTATATGATTACAGAGAATATGAAAGGTTTCACTAACTGTAATTGTAACTGCTAATGCGGTTCGATACAGCGACGACTCGAGTAACTGCTCAATAGAGAGTCCATTATTTGTCCTTGCTGTCGCGCTGCCTTTGTCGAGTAAAAGGTTCCTGACCTTCGACCTTCGCTTCAACCTCCTGCTGTTGTCGCCTTCTCAACCGCTTTACTGTGTCTTGGTTGACTTGGTGTTGATTCGCTGTGGATATGCTTCGTTCTTGTTATAGTGCTCGACACATCAGAAGCGTGAATTAGATGTTTCGAACAGATATAACTCAATTAAAACGTTATTTGCCTTCTTACTTTCCCAAAAGTGGTTTGGAGGTCAGGTTTCCTCCATCCAAGTTCCTTACAAGTGCTAGATCTTATATTCCAGTTCTACAGCTCTTATTAAACATATTGGAGCTACAGACTTGTGTTTCTCAGACTATCAACACCTCTATATTTAGAATAATATGGACAATTTTAATGTCTCTGAAAACTTCGCCATTTGCTGGAACAATAAGCAGCCTGTCTCAAGTTGGATACATCGCTTAGTTGTATTGTCTATATACTGCACACAGGACTAAGGGTGCATGCATACATGTCTGATGTGCTAGTTGGAAACCTGTGTCAGGCCATCAGGCTTTAGTCAAGGAAAATGCTTACAATCACCACACAATCAAGACAACACAGAACAATCCTCCCTGACTAGTCTCTTATCAAAACATCAAGGGGGGAAATCCACGATTAAAACCCGAGGTCCACAGGTTTCAAAGGTAGGAAGCCTGGTTGAACCTAGTGGCCCTTTCAAAGGTAGGAAGGTTGGTTGGACCTGGTGACCCAACTAAAGGTAGGAAGGTTGAGGCAATTGAAGGGAACTTGAGACTCCGGTTTTAAATACAAGACTGCCAACTGCCGTTTCCGAGGAACTCAGCGGCTGGGCTGACACTAAGTGGTGGTGATGACTGATTACATACACTTGTCATCTTCATTTGGGAGCATCACTGGTCCCTTATTTCTCCTTCAGAGCAGCAATCTGTTTCTTGAGAGCCTCTTTCCGTTTCATGTTCTCGTACAGCTTGGCCTGGTACCCCGACAGGTCTGTCTTCTCCTTCTCCTCCTGCGGAGGAGGCTTCTTTCGTGCTGCTTGTGCACTCTGCGGCAGCGCCAATGCGCCGAGAAGAGCCGCCCCAGACACAGCCACAAGCGCCCTGCGGCGGCATGAAGAAATTATTCATATTAGTGACATTGTAAAAAATCATGGGAGGTATGTTGTTCTTTTAACGATGCGTGCGCCGAATGCGCAAGGTGATAGACTATCGACACAGATTAGTGGGGTCGTGGGTGAGTTACCTTCTGGTAGTGACATCGTCGTTTGCAGCCTGACATCTCCATCCAACAATCCGTTGACTGACAGGTGCCGGATGCACGGCCTTGGCTTCCAGCCGCATTCCAGCGAGCTCTGGCGCCGTCAGCGTCGAGCAGGCCGGCATGGAAACAAGGATAGAAGCAGCCATGATTAGGAGAATAGGTGCTACGCCCACAGCAGAGCCAGGAACTAATACGCCTGGGAGGGTAAGCACGGTCCAAACAAGAGCGCTAACCGAAGAGGACTATGTGGGCGACTGAACGTCAGGGAAAGCGAATGACAGATTCGCACGTAAATAGTTCGGGAGATGGGTAGGGGGACACGGAATGCCCAGTGCACTCTGAATTTCTGAGAGCCCCATTCCGAAGAAGCGAGCAAAAATTACATGGAGCCACGTCAACCAAAGCCACCTTGGAAGCGAATCTTTTGGATTTGGCGGGAGAATATTTGGCGTGTCGTGGCACAATGTTGGTACTAATTGACGTGGACCAAGTAGCCGATGACATGGAATCGACGCGAACTACGGTGTCAGCAGAGTGTCAAGCTGATGACGCCATTTCCGGTGTGCATTCATCTCAATGATCCGCGATAAGGAGGCCTTATATTGGGTTAGATGTTTACCAGTATAACAATGGATGCACTTTCTTGATGTATTTCACCTGCATGCGTCACTTCAGTTTGCCTCGTTTATTACTGGGATGTTTGCATAAGGAATTAAATTTTATGATAATTCGCCTTTTTTCCTGTAAATTGTTTATTATCTCAGTTCCTTTTTGGTATACTAGTAGCATCTGAATGTACTCATGTATATATTTGCGGTTCACTTGTATTTGCGGTTCACCTGCAACCTAACACTTGTATTTGCGGTTCATTTGCATCTGAATGTACTCATGTATACATGATTTACGTCTTGATTGGATTCCTCGATAACATACTCGGAGGTCCCTCGGTTCAAACAAGCATCTGAATCTCACACTGACGAGACGCTTCTTGACCCAGTTTTCGTCTCTCCTTGAATCTGCTGTTATTATCCTCCTCGCCTGCTCACATTTGTCATTCGCTTCATTTCACTTGTGATTCTCCACGGATCGGGATCTCGGTAGTCGTTGTGATCTTCGCAAGTGCAAGCTTTGACCGCAGCTTTCGCTAAGGTTTCGCCATGGCGGGAATGGGAATGATGGTAAGTGAATGTGCAGCAACCGAGCGCTTACAGATGGCTGAGCGCTTACAGATTGCTGACGATGTATCTTAGGTTCCGTAGACGTAGTGCTGCTTTCCTTATGCACAGTTGGAGGTGTTCAAGGCAATTAGGTTGCCGGGTGAATTCCGATTCACAGTTTTGCGATTCTACGGTCGGCTGTGAGCCTATGAACGATCTTTGCTGTTGAGACTCCTGGGGAAGCAAATTCTTGAGATCGCAGATTAGTGAGGTCGCGGATTAGTGAGTTCGCAGGTTAGTTAGATATCATATTCATGGACTCGCATTTTTCCGCTTGTCGCCCTTGCCGTTGTCCGATCTTCCATCTGACACCCAACAGCAACCGCAGATCATCCTCCTTAAAGACGGAACCGATACATCGCAAGGCAAGCCGCAGCTGATCAGCAACATCAACGCGTGCCTAGCTGTCGTGGACACGATCCGCACGACGCTGGGTCCTCGTGGCATGGATAAGCTCATCCACGACGAGCGCGGCAACACCACAATTTCTAACGACGGAGCCACCATCCTGAAGCTGCTCGAGATTGTGCATCCCGCCGCGAAAACCCTCGTCGACATCGCCAGATCGCAAGACGACGAGGTACGTTCAAGATGGTTGGTTATGCTTTGCTGCCAGTGGTTCTGGTCTGTTACCTTGTCTGTTGCCTTTTCTTCAGGAGTCATCTTTCGGTGAAACCCTCGGAATAATAGCCGGATCCGTAAGATCGCTGGAGGTTTAGGCGAGGGAGGGGAATTTAGGCGAGGAGGGGGATGTGGGTGAGGAAGAGGGTTATGCAAGGGAAGGAGGGTAGGCGGGGGAAGGGGGATCTCGACCGCCCTCGTTCGACTCTAATTTTGCTTCGACTGACTCGGGTTTTGCCTGCGACTGACTCAGGATTCGCTGCGACTGACTCAGGCAGTGCCTGCGACCGAGTCTGAATTTGCCTGCGACAATCTGAGAATTTGCCTGGGAGATGGTTACCGGGGGATAGGGGATGGGGTGGGAGGGGGTGATAGGTAAAGGAACTGGCTAATAATTGAAGTGAGCGAATTGGTGGATTCACGTGCAACTTAACCCAGTTTATGCCTGCGGCTGGCTCAGCATTCGCCCGCCTCTCTTTACACACCACCGCACTTCTTACGCCCTCCATCAGGTGGGCGACGGCACAACGACGGTGACGCTACTGGCAGGCGAGTTCCTGCGTCAGGCCAAGCCTTCTCTCACTGTATTGTTCCTCTTCTCACACCGCCCCTCTTTCCCTTTTAACCACCAGGTGGGCGACGGCACGACGACGGTGACCCTCTTGGCAGGCGAGTTCCTGCGGCAGGCCAAGCCGTTCGTGGAGGAGGGCGTCCACCCGCAGCTCATCTGCCGCGCCTTCCGCACTGCTGCGCGCCTGGTAAGAGCCCTGGCCCTGACCTTTTGCGGGTAAGAGCCCGTGCCGTCTAGCTGGTTCTCGTTTCGCGCACGTATGAGGGCAGATCGAACCTCAAGTGTGCGGCTTCTGAGGGGGCTTCAAACTGCCGTGTTTTCCTGCTGCTTTTGCCTTCTGCTGATCCACCAGGCCGTGGAGAAGGTGAGGGAGGTGGCGATCTCAATTGAGGGCAAGGGCGACGAGGAGAAGAGAGAGCTGCTGCACAAGTGTGCGGCGACGACGCTGAGCTCGAAGCTGGTGGGCGGCGAGAAGGACTTCTTCGCACGCATGGTGGTGGACGCTGTGTGCTCCCTGGACGAGGATGTGCCGCTGCACATGATCGGCATCAAGAAGGTAAGGGGGGGATGGGGGAACGAGAGGGGGTACAATGGGGGAAGGTGCGGGGAGGAGGGGGGAAGGTGGGGGGGAAATCTCAGGAGCAGCCGTGTTCGGGAAGCCGTTAGATGGTGGTAGGGGTGAGCTCGAAGCCGTTAGATGGTGGTAGGGGTGAGCTCGAAGCCGGTGGGCGGCGAGAAGGACTTCTTCGCGCACATGGTGGTGGACGCCGTGTGCTCGCTGGATGAGGATGTGCCGCTTCACATGATCGGCATCAAGAAGGTGAGGTTTGGGGGAGGAGAGGAGCGGGTAGATCATATCATGAGTGTGTGCGCATGGTGGTGGGCGCCGTGTGCTCGCTGGATGAGGACGTGTCCCTTCACATGATGGGCATGAAGAAGGTGCGGTGCACCTTGGTAGACCAGCACTCATAGGGAGACACGATGCAACGAGGTGTGTCCACATGCGCATGGTGGTGGGCGCCGTGTGCTCGCTGGATGAGGACGTGTCCCTTCACATGATGGGCATGAAGAAGGTGCGGTGCACCTTGGTAGACCAGCACTCATAGGGAGACACGATGCAACGAGGTGTGTCCACATGCGCATGGTGGTGGGCGCCGTGTGCTCGCTGGATGAGGACGTGTCCCTTCACATGATGGGCATGAAGAAGGTGCGGTGCACCTTGGTAGACCAGCACTCATAGGGAGACACGATGCAACGAGGTGTGTCCACATGCGCATGGTGGTGGGCGCCGTGTGCTCGCTGGACCAGGACGCATGCCGCTGCACATGATCGGCATAACAAAGGTGGGAGAAGGGGATGGGGATGATACCCACTTCAGGCTTCGATAAGAGATGAGCACTTGATGGCGCTGGACGGGGACGTGCTGCTGCACATGATCAGCATCAACAAGGAGGGGGGGGTAATGGGGATGGTACTCACTTAAGGCTTGGATAGGTGAGGGGGCCACTTGATGGTGGTGGACGTGTGCTCCCTGGACAAGGACGTGCCGCTGTACAAAGGGGGGGCAGGCTCAAGAGCGAGAAGGAGAACGCACAAGAAGCGACCTGCTTCATTCCCTTCCCCCATCCATCCCCTCCCTCGCAGGTCCCGGGAGGCACGATGTGAGATTCGTTCCTTGTCGAGGGCGTGGCCTTCAAGAAAACGTTTTCGTATGCGGGCTTGGAGCAGCAGCCCAAGCGGTTCGAGTCCCCCAAAATCCTCCTCCTGAACATAGAGCTGGAGCTGAAGAGCGAGAAGGAGAACGCACAAGGAGCAGCAACCCGGGATTCCACTCAAGCACCTGCTTCTGTTCTTTCCTTCTCTTTCACAGGTGCCAGGAGGCACGATGCGAGACTCGTTCCTGGTGGAGGGAGTCGCCTTCAAGAAGACCTTTTCCTACGCGGGTTTCGAGCAGCAGCCCAAGCGGTTCGAGTCCCCCAAGATCCTGCTGCTGAACATTGAGCTGGAGCTGAAGAGTGAGAAGGAGAACGCGGAGGTGCGGCTGACTGACCCGTCGCAGTACCAGTCGATCGTGGACGCGGAGTGGAATATCATTTACTCCAAGCTCGACAAATGCGTGCAGAGCAGCGCCAAGATCGTGCTTTCGAGGCTCGCGATCGGCGACCTGGCGACCCAGGTGAGCAGGAGAACGAGGAGGTGCGGGTGCCGGGCCTTTACCGTCGCAGTACCACTCGATCGTGGACGCGAAGTGGAACATTATATATGCCAAGGCTGTGTCAATCACCCTGCTTTTCGTTGGACCTGTAACCACCCCCCCTCCCGTCCCCCCTTCCCCCACCACCAGTACTTCGCTGATCGGGACATCTTCTGTGCGGGGCGCGTGGCAGAGGACGACATGCAGCGAGTGGCCAAGGCGACAGGAGGAGCCGTGCAGACCACCGTGAACGACCTCATTCCTGATGTGAGTGCTCCCTGGTGGGTTAGATTGTAGGCTCTCATGTGAGTGCTCCAGTGCATTTGGTACTCCTCGCTCTTCTCTCCTGCTCCTTGCACATTCTTCCAGTGCGTTTGGTACTCCTCGCTCTTCTCTCCTGCTCCTTGCACATTCTTCCAGTGCGTTTGGTGCAAGGATCGCGTTTGTGATGCTTGCACCCACTGCTAACTACCTCGCATTTCCTCCCTTCCCCCTCCCGCCCCCGCCCCGTCCTCCCTCTCCCTCCCGTCCCCCTTCCTTGTT